GCCCAGCATTTTGGGAATAATTGATGAGAAGGGGTGGTAGGCGGTTTATAATACATCCACTACCTTGTATTACCCGGTCCCCATATACATTTAAACTGCCTACCTTTAGATTTTCCACTCTCTATCTATTTCCATACATTTGGAGGGAACTTTTTTCGCTGCCCCTGGCAATATCAATTAGGTAAATTTAGTACCATTTTTGGCCATGGAAGGGGAGCGAAGTTAGTGTTCTGTGGTTTTTGCAGTAAGGATAAATAAAGACATATGTCCATAACTTTATTTTTCCACAAGGGCACAAGTCAACACAATTGAAGGTTGCTGATGTTCCCCCACTGTTTGACACACCATAACTACAATGAGTCTTTAGATACTATTCTATTAGCATTGTCTATTTACGTCTTTTGCCAGCCTTAGATCTCCTTATTTTTTGGAGGTCATTTCTATTTTTCAGTTTACTAGTCTATTAGGGTAAAAGCCCTGGGTGGAGCTGGCACCACCACTTGACCACTTGCCATTGTTTTTACCTCTCATACTTCATTTTCCATCTTTGAAGTTGATTGGCTAAACAAGGTTATTTATTATTTACCATTTATTCATTTATGGTGTTAACCTCTTTGGGGCATTAGGGCAAACCCCTAATGACAGCATTAGTATTTACATGGGTAACCCCCATAAGATTAAGACTGGCCATCTTCTGTCCACATGAGCATTTTATCAGCCAAGAGAACTACCTTTCAGTTTGCCCTGCAGCCCATAGGATATTAGTATTATTACCGGCATTTATAAAGTGCCAACAAATTCCACAACTCTGAACAATTGGGGAGAATCTGCACAGAACAACACAAAAAGTAAAGATTGCCCTGCCGTGAGCTAAAATCTAGCCATGCAAATTTCTTTATAGAAAACACTTAGCTACCTTGATCTTACAATCTGAAGGTTAAAATGGGGAGTAGAGACAAACGGTAGCAGCTGGAATATGGAGACGATGGCCAGAAAAAAATTAAATATAATTGCACTCACTGGTAAGATGTAAAGGGATGTAAGAGTGTCAATGTTTGCAGCTAGAAATGATCTGTCGTATCTATAACATCTGTTATTCTCTTAGCATTGTACATTGTTAGCACATATGCTGGAAAACAGATATATTGGTGGAACTTGGTTGCAGTTAGAAGCCAGTCTGCAAATATGAAGGATCTTTAAGCAAAATGTATTTCAGCAGCAGTGCAGTAATTTAGGCTGCTTAGTGAATCAATATGTACCACTTTCACCCCAAGGTCAATTTTATCTAATGTTTTCAAACACCAATAAAAAAAAAGCTTGCCACAAAATTAGTAATATTTCATACACAGTCCATCTGCAAACTCAGTCTAGAAGGTTGCTATACGGCATTGGTTTAGTTGTTCAGCATTTGAAATAAACTGAATACACTTCTAGAATAAAAGAATTGGCACTTATAGTTGACCTCTGGATATTTGGTTTGTATGCCGGAAAAAAAAATCTTTGTTCCTGAAAACATTGAATGCTGGACACATTTCCAAGACACAGCACCTTGTTAAGAACTGTAAATGAAAATCAACTATTTTGGGGCTTTAACACAGATCATTATCTGTCCTTGAAAAATCACAAATGTCTGTATTTGTATTGAAAAGAGGTAATGGCAAATTGCCAGTCAATGTGCTAACTACAAGAAACTTTTTTTTTGTAAGTTTCCGTTTTCGATAATCGAGCAAGCAGTAAAAATTATTCTGTTCTAAAAAAGCAATATAATGTAAACCTACATTTATACTTTGAAACCGCACAAAGGAACATTATTCATATAAACTGGCTTTTATACCTGCATATAAAATGTGTAATTATATCGTGGACCTACGTTTGAAGTATTTCATTCTTATACATTTCTTGTTAATGTCTGAAATTGTATCGAACTTTGATCTATGATGCATGTCATACATGTTTCCCTCTACTTTGCATCAAATAAGGCAGTTTATACTCTTAAGGATAAATGTACCAAACCATGCATTATATTCCCTGGTAAATGTAAATTCTTAACCCCACAATGATACGTTACGGACATACGTGTTTAATCAATGCAAGATTTGTCCCATAAAAATGCTGTGCTTGCAATACAAATATGATTTTTTTTTTTAAAGTATTCAATTTGAAATGTAAAAATGCTAATTCATAAATATAGGGGATGGCCCTGATTTATGGTAAACATATTTGTCAGTCACATATTGATAAGTTATAGACAGATGTGTTTAATACTCCATGCATCGTTTTCACCATACACGTATCCTCGACTTGTTATAAAATTATGATAAAAGCATTAGAATTGATTTAAAATATAAAATCTATACTAAATCATAAGTATATGGGTTGCCACAGATTAACGAGAGTGAATTGGGAGAAGCATGTCCTATTGAAGATTCTTAGATAGTCAGAACATTTGAATAGACTGATGAATCCAGATTGTTTAGATCTTCATATATTACGTGAAAAACAGTCAAGTACTTCTAATTATATGCTTTCTTAAAAGAAATGCATTTAAGTTGAGAAGTATAATTACACAGGCATCCACTTGGAGACTCAGAACATAAGAGATACATAGGTGAGGGTGTATTCCTTGAACTGGAGGGAGGGAGGTTTTTTTTTTTTTTTTTTAAAGGTTGACACTCCTTTCTGTATTAGGTTTTATACAGGTTCATGAACCAGAAATGTTGGCTTTATTATCACAGATCCACAAAGTGCCTTTATAAACAGATTTTTTTTTTTCAATAGGGGTTTCTTACATTCACAGGATCTTCCCGTATACGGACAAACAAATGAATTGATGGCTTACAAATTTTCACCCAAGTTGGCTATTTTACACACAGATTCATACTCTTCAATTACTCAGAAATAATTGTATTTTCGATAGTTATTAAATATATTTTTGAAAGTGTTTAGATTATCTTTGTCATTGATAAGTGACACGTTTAGATTTGAAAAAATACACAAGCTAAATGAAAAAAAATATATAAAATATATAAAAAAGTTAAGGAAAATTAAACATATCTTGGAGCAGAAAAAATGGGGCATGAATAGAGCATAAATAGAAAAAAAATAACTTAATTCTAATACAGAAAATGGTCAAGAATGTCTGCTGAATAAATAAATATAAAAATTGAAGAACTAGCAAACAGCCTTATTCATAAAATAAAATATTAAGATGACAGCCCTGGAATAAAACAATGGATGCCTTACTAGAGAAACATTAATATCAACCAGGATGAAAAAAGTTTATTTGAAGAAAAACTTTATTCCATCATTTTAAAACATAAAATACCTAGCATACATTTTTACTTTATATATGTTTTTCTTCCTGGTAGATATTTTTTATGCTTGAAAACATTATCCATTTGTATGTTCCCAGCACAAGAATGGGTACAATCTTTCTATGTACCTTTCCTTAGACTGTCTTTGAACATCAATAATTTGAACAAATGTTTGAGCTAGGGTAGAATTACAAAATCTCAAATAATCTGTAGAACAAATGCACAGAAACCATAGCACGTAGGAACATGCCTTAACTGTTCTTACTTGATAGCTGTAACGGAACTCCAGTACTCCGACTGAATACCTCCGCCAAGTCTGCTTCCTTGTAGATACCAGGAACCCTGGAACACTTGAGACTCAGACACCGAGGCTTGACTAGGATCACTTAGGGCCTTTTCCACCCTGGACCAAACACCAGACGACACATGGTGATGGTTAAACAGCAACTCTTTAATGAATACAGCACACATAGTTTTAGCCCCCAAGAACCTAATTTATATACGTATAATAGGTTGATAAGAGCACTACAGTACATGGAAGGGTGGGGTCAGGCAATAGCAAGGGCTTATGGGCAGGGCCGGATTGACGTAGGGGCTGATGGAGCTGCAGCTCCAGTCCCCTACCATAAAATACGCCCATCCACCAGCCAAAAGGCAGTCGGGAGCCGCCCGCGCTAGAAGACCTCTGTTGTACACAGCGCAGCGTGCAGGAGGGATAATTGCGGGCTCACTGAGGTCATATCCGGTGGGCCGCGGCATTACAGGAACCGCATCAGCATCTCTGACGGACGGCCGCCAGATATGAGTCATGGTGGTACGATCCAAACACAGTCTGTGGTACGATCCAGACACATACGGTGGTACGATCCAAACACAGACTGTGGAACAATCCAAACACAGTCTGTGGTATAGTATAACCCCCGTCATTATATATTGATCCAGACACAGACTGTGGTACGATCTAAACACAGACTGTGATACGATCCAAACACAGTCTGTGGTATAGTTGATTGGTTGGTCAGCAATTGCTACAGCAGATTGTAAATGAAATGAAACAAGCCAAATATTATTAAATTTCTGTTGATTCCACCTCTGACATTGCACATTCTGATCAACTGACCATTATATTTCGATATGTACTTGCCAGTGGTCCAGTGGAGCGTTTTACTAAATTTATCCCAATATCTGGACATACTGGTATGGAACTAGCAAACATGGTTCTTCAATTTCTGGAAGAAAATGGTATTTCCATCAAAGACTGCAGGGGCCAGTCATATGATAATGCATCTAATATGAGTGGCAAATATAATGGTATGCAGGTCTTAATTCGGGGGGAAAAATCCACTGGCTGAATACATTCCTTGTTGTGCACATTCACTAAACCTTGTAGGACAAAATGCAGTAAACAGCTGTCCAGTTGCAGTTTCATTCTTTAATTTTGTTCAGCAATTATATTGTTTTTTTTCTTCATCAACTCAACGGTGGAATCTGCTAACAAACCGTTTCAAAACGTGTGGTATACAAACATTAAAAAGGTTAGCTGATACGCGTTGGTCTGCTCACCATAATGCTGTTAATGCCTTACAAAAAGGGTATATTATTGTCAAAGAAGTCCTTGCAAATATTTAGAATGATGAGAACACAAAGGGAGAGGTCTGTTTACAAGCAAAGGGCCTAAGCAGTGTTATGGATCAGCTGGAAACGGGAATAATGATTGAAATATGGTCTGTAATTCTACCCAGGTTTCACAGAACCAGTCAGAGTCTCCAAGATGCAAAATTAGATTTACATACAGCAACAGGCATGCTGAACTCTCTGAAGGATTTTGTTCAGTCTCTGCATTCTAGATTCTCTGAATTTGAACAGCAGGGCAAAGATATTACCTGCTGCGACGAGTACCAGCTTCAACGTGGAAGGAAAATTAAAAGAAATAAGAAGTGGGACTATGGTGATGCAGAAGATGCTGATATGACACCATCTGAAAAGTTTAAAGTGAACACCTTTTATCTTATTATTGACCAACTGACAGAATCACTGAGGCACAGACAAGCAGCATACAGCGTCATTCAGGAAAGATTTGGCTTGCTGTTAGAAATGTGCACTCTAGCAACAGATGGTCTATGCTCCAAAGCCAGAACACTAGTGACACAATATCCTGAAGTTCTCGACCCCTTGTTTGCAGATGAAATTGTACAGTTTGCCTCTCTTTTCAAAATTTACCAGTCTTTCCCTGCAAAAAAAGTAATTAATGAGAGTCAAGAACTACAAATGTACAAGTTTCTGGTCACACAATCTCTAGTCGGTGCATTTCCATACACACGTGACCCTCCGCATGTATTTGTGTTTAATGGTCAGCAACTGCAGTGGTGAGCATTCGTTTTCAACATTAGAAAGTGTGAAAAATGAACTGAGATCTTCAATGGGTCAGGAGCGTTTAAATGCACTCTCTCTGTTATGCATTGAAAATGGGTTGCTCAATGAGCTGAATCTTGATTCTACAATTGAAGAATTTGCAAGCAAAAAGGCAAGAAAAGAAAATGTGTAGTTTAATTATAATCTGGCTGTTTGATTCGTTTAGGTTAAAATGCAGTTTAGAATTAAGTGAATAACCCTGTTTTTGTGTTTGTTACTCTCTGCACCATAACCATAACAGCAGGCTATAGTCAGTCTGATGCTTGGAGTAATACCTTAATGAGCATATTTATATGTATGTATCATAAAATTATATTTAATTTGTTTATATGGTTTACTACTGTTTACAAAAAAAGAAACCTTTTCGATCCATTTCTGTTATGGCACTTTAATGGTAATTAAAATTTTTCATTTGTCTTAATACAAATGCTTTGCATTTTGATTTTATATATTATGTATATATTTCCATAAAAAGGCCCAGCAAAATCCTCAGCACCAGGCCCATGATGCTCTTAATCCGGCCCTGCTTATGGGAGATTGAGGTGGGACAGGGCAGCCAGTTTAAACTGGTCTGGCAGTGTCCCTGGGTAACACCCTGTGGCGAAACCGGCCTCGCCACGTGTCCTTGGAGGGGGCTGCTTGCCCGCCTCTTGCCTTTGGACTATGGACCAGACTTTATGTGAATGTGTTATACCCCAGATAGGAATCCCATGGAGCCCATTCGTATGAAACTGACTGTAAAGACTTTGGCTCCATGGCGATTAAACTGTATTTGTGTGGTCCGAGCGCCATTCACTTAATAATGTGCGCTCAGACCTGGGCTATCTGGGGATATGTGAAATGTCTGTGTGTTATGTGTAAAATGTGACTTTATGTATTTTAAAGTGTTTTGTGTCTTTTTGCAACCATGTGCTTAATGGAGTCTTGTGTCTGTCCTGGGAGATAATTGAATTACTTATCTCCAGGATAGAAGACCCTGAAACTGGTTTGGGCCAGAAAGCCATGCTTCATTTAGTCACAAAGGACTTTTTACTAACTTTTGAACCCCTTGTCTGATTTGTGCCATTTTTGAATATGTGTAGTTTAATCCTGAATGGATTGATTGTGAATATGTAATTTTATGTGAATGTGATGTATGGTTTTGGAGTTATGAAAGTTGGGTAGAAAGTATGTTTTAACTGTATGTATAATTGAGTTTCCTCACAGGATAAGGGGAGGGAATATGTGGGATGTAACTGTGATGTGATTGGTTGTTTTGTAACGCCCTGTGGGCTGTACTATGTTTGTGGATTGGGAATAAAAGAGACTGTATGTGACAGTACAGGGAGTTCCTGCTTAACCCTCAAAGTGAAGTGTCGTCTCATTATTGGGGGAGGATTTATTGTATGCTGTTCCAGTTTGACTGCTAGGAGAGTAAACCTATTCGTATGGTTCCTATTCAACTGTCTACAGCATTCATATGCTTGGGAGAATTTATTTGCTTCTCCGGTTCGGTGGTTGTGGTGTCTGCCAGCAGTGCTTGGAGTCCTCAGGAAGCGCTAGGAGCATCCTTCAACGGAGGTACCCAGTCGGGGTGCCAGGCGATCCGTTACATTGGTGGCAAGCGGTGGGATGGCGTCCTAGTGCGAGGTAAAGCAGCTCAGAGACACAGTCGTTTGGATTTACAAATTGAAGGCGACGCTAGTGTTTATACAGCGTCCCTGTCTACATAAAGATTTGGGAAAATGGGGTTCGTGGATCCTTGGGCACCTCGCACACCTGAGGAAGAGGGTGAATTGGACTGGAGAGATATTGCCCGGCAAGAACTATGGTACAATGCCCTGGAGGAAGTCCAGTATCAACGGCAGCAGCGCCTTCCTGGTGTCGCATACCGGCTGGAGGAACAAATGGCCTGGCGGATGCCGCTTCTGGGAGACCAACCCGGAGGGCAGCAGGTCAGACAACTTGAGTACCTCGTGGAAAGGGAACTGAGCCTTGACGCCTCATACCGGGCACTGTGGTGGTGCACTGTCCAGCCAGAGACATGGAGGGCAGAGGGCATCCAGCCGGAGGGGGAGAACTACACTAGCCCTGGCCTGTTGTGGAAGGCCTTAGCAGAAGACGTCGACTTTGGCAGTCCAGCAGAGTCACGGTACTGGGCTATTTTTATTACCGGGGTGAGATGGTACAGGGCCCGAGATCTATGGGACTGGGACAAGACCTCCACCGTTTGGCTGCCATGGAACGACAGCTAGAGATGGACTATGTGGAACTACTAAACTCATGTCAGCCACAGGGCATAGACACAGAACAGGAAAACTGGCTGGGAGACCCAGACCTGCCAACCTACAGCTGGGAAAACGCAGCCGAGGTACCCCCTGCTTCACTACCAGCGGCAGAAGTAGGGGACCTCATAGACTGGTCCTGGGAAGACCCACAGATGGCAGGTGGAGATGGGATGGCGGTCTCTCTACCGGCCCTACAGGGATGCTGGGTGGTCGGCCCAGATCTCCAGCGGCAGTGTGTACCCCAGGGAGCAGAAGGTGCAGTCCTTCCTCCCCAGCGGCAGTGTGTACCCCAGGGAGCAGAAGGTGCAGTCCTTCCTCCCCAGCGGCAGTGTGTCCTGCAGGAAGCGGAGACAGTCGGTCTCGCTCCCCAGCAGCAGGGCAATATATTAAAAGGGGAGACAGTTGGTCCCCCTCTCCAACAGCAGAGAGAGTGTCAGGGAGAGGAGCTTGTTATCCCCTCTCCCCAGCGGCTGAAAGTATGTATGGGAGAGGAGCTTGTTACCCCCCCTCCCCAGCGGCAGCGTGTGGGAGATGAAGGTGCCCCCTTCCTCCCCAGGAAGCAGAGACCATCTGTCTCGCACCCCAGCCGCAGGACAAAATATTGAAAGGGGAGACAGTTGGTCCCCCTCTCCACCAGCAAAGAGAGTGTCAGGGAGAGGAGCAGGTTACCCCCTCTCCCCAGCGGCAGTCTACAGTTCAGAGAGAGGAGCTTGTTACACCCTCTCTCCAGCGGCAGCCTAACCCACCAAGGGGAGATGTTAAGCCCCACAACTATGCACATGGGACCGTAGTCTCTGCACTTGCAGCCCCAGGGGCAGGGACGGTCGGTCCTGTCCCCCAGCCACAGAGCAGTGTATCCAGAGGGGAGACAGTCGGTCTCCCCCTCCCCCAACCAGGCTCCAACCAGGCTACTTCAGTGGTAGCGCTGGCACCCGGGCAGAGTACCGCTGGTCTCTGCCCACTCAGCAACCCACCAAGGCAGTCTACCAGCCCCCCGCACAGCTGTGGTGAGGCACCTGGACATGGACAAGTTGCTATTTTATCCAGGTGTAGTAACCAGTTATTGTGGGTGGGCTGTATTGCTGTTTGTGCTTCGTGGGTGGGTTGCTGGACTAACCAGGGCACTGACCGGCAGGAGGTCAGATACCCTGTTAGTTTGGATGGTAAAGGGGAGAAATGTGGCGAAACCGGCCTCGCCACGTGTCCTTGGAGGGGGCTGCTTGCCCGCCTCTTGCCTTTGGACTATGGACCAGACTTTATGTGAATGTGTTATACCCCAGATAGGAATCCCATGGAGCCCATTCGTATGAAACTGACTGTAAAGACTTTGGCTCCATGGCGATTAAACTGTATTTGTGTGGTCCAAGCGCCATTCACTTAATAATGTGCGCTCAGACCTGAGCTATCTGGGGATATGTGAAATGTCTGTGTGTTATGTGTAAAATGTGACTTTATGTATTTTAAAGTGTTTTGTGTCTTTTTGCAACCATGTGCTTAATGGAGTCTTGTGTCTGTCCTGGGAGATAATTGAATTACTTATCTCCAGGATAGAAGACCCTGAAACTGGTTTGGGCCAGAAAGCCATGCTTCATTTAGTCACAAAGGACTTTTTACCCCTTTTAACCCCTTGTCTGATTTGTGCCATTTTTGAATATGTTGTTCCCCTGAATGGATTGATTGTGAATATGTAATTTTATGTGAATGTGATGTATGGTTTTGGAGTTATAAAAGTTGGGTAGAAAGTATGTTTTAACTGTATGTATAATTGAGTTTCCTCTCAGGATAAGGGGAGGGAATATGTGGGATGTAACTGTGATGTGATTGGTTGTTTTGTAACGCCCTGTGGGCTGTACTATGTTTGTGGATTGGGAATAAAAGAGACTGTATGTGACAGTACAGGGAGTTCCTGCTTAACCCTCAAAGTGAAGTGTCGCCTCATTATTGGGGGAAGGATTTATTGTATGCTGTTCCAGTTTGACTGCTAGGAGAGTAAACCTATTCGTATGGTTCCTGTTCAACTGTCTACAGCATTCATATGCTTGAGAGGATTCATATGCTTCTCCGGTTCGGTGGTTGTGGTGTCTGCTGCAGTGCTTGGAGTCCTCAGGAAGCACTAGGAGCATCCTTTAATGGAGGTACTCAGTCGGGGTGCCAGGCGATCCGTTACACACCCCCTGGGTAGTGATGTCCCGAACTGTTCGCCGAATGGTTCGCGAATGGTTCGCCACGGACTCCAGTCAGCTGACACATTCCAGCCAATCAGCAGCAGACCCTCCCTCCCAGACCCTCCCACCTCCTGGACAGCATCCATTTTGAAGCTGCATTCTTAGTGATCTGTCTAGGAGGTGGGACGGTCTGGGAGGGAGGGTCTGCTGCTGATTGGCTGGAATGTGTCAGCTGACTGGAGTCCGTGGCGAACCGTTCGTGGCAAACCGTTCATGGCGAACCGTTCGCGAACCGTTCGGCGAACAGTTCGGGACATCGCTACCCCTGGGTAACATCCTCCCCACCATTTGGCCAATAAATGGAAAAGAAAAGACGCAGGAAGACGTTTGTAAGGTTAACGAGTTTTGGCAAATTCTATAAAAATAGGCAGTTGGTGTATTATTAAATGTAATAGTAGATTTAAAAAAAAAATAAAAAAATGTTTCTTTATTTTGGTGTGCAAGTAATAACAACATGCTTATAAAG